AGAATTAACATGAGGAGTGTATGTGTAGAGAGTGTGTGTGTAGAGTGTGTAGAGAGTGTGTGTGTAGAGTTTGTATTCACCTAGTTGTGTTTGTGGGGGTTGAGCTTTGCTCTTTCGGCCCGCCTCTCAACTGTTAATCAACTGTTTACTACTTTTTTTTCCACATCACACACACACACACACCAGGAAACAGCCCGTGAGAGCTGATTAACTCCCAGGTACCTATTTACTGCTAGGTAACAGGGGCATTCAGGGTGAAAGAAACTTTGCCCATTCGTTTCTGCCTAGTGTGGGAATCGAACCCGCGCCACAGAATTACGAGTCCTGCGCGCTATCCACCAGGCTACCAGGCCACTAGACCCCCCTAAGAGTGTGTGTGTGTAGTGACTGGTAGCCCCCCCCCACACTACACTAATGTGTAGTGTGTCGAGTGTGTGTAGTGTGTAGAGTGTGTGTGTAGAATGTGTGTGTAGAGTGTGTGCAGAGTGTGTGCGTAGAGTGTGTGAAGAGCATATGTAGAGTGACTGTAGAGTGTATGTGTAGAGTGTAGAGTGTGTGTAGAGTGTAGAGTGTGCGTAGAGTGTATTTAGAGTGTGTGTAGAGCTGGCATGATCTGTATGATAATTGGTCACTGTATATACTATATAGTGTAACAATGTGTGTGTGTATAGAACTCTCAGCAGAGAGACCAACCCGTCCTCCTAATAGAACGTCGCATTTTTGACGTATACTCTAACTGATGCCACAAATTGACGTAGTTGAAAATGGAAGCGCTAGCAAAATTGACATACTGACCCAATTTCTGTTTTGGGTCCTCTGGTTGGCTAGGATAAACGAGGGCACTTTCGTACGACTGTTGCCTGAGGTTGGGAGCTCTTAGGAGGAGGAGCTGGAGAGGCAGTGTTGTGCCCACCCTCTTGAGCACCAGAGGCCGTATACGGTGCGCTACGCTGCATAATGTTAATCACTGTCTGGTATCAACGTTGACCGTGGATCCAGGTGCCTGTTGTTGCATTCTCTGCAGTTAGATGTCCTGTTATGATTGGTAGTGGGTTTATCAAGTTGACGTCTCTGCTGCCAGGTATAGTCTTTATAATGCTGACTTTCCTGGCTCTACTGCCTAGTATAAGTAAGTAATTATCAAAAGAAGGCACCGAACCGGGAAGGCTATGTAGCACCATCAAATGTGCAGAATAATCAGAGGGCGCTAAATATCACCAAGGATGCCAATACGAGAACAGAAACTCATGACAAACGATATCAAAAGTATTTGATTCACCAAGAATTCTATTGAGGGACAAGTGACCGCGAGGAACCGTCGGAAAGCAAGACACACGCTCGTCCTGGAAGTCAGGACATTCAACAAGGACATGCACAACCGTAAGAGGGACAACTCAATTTGGACAATAAGAAGCAGGGCGGCACTATTAAGTGATCGTGAGTTTAGCGTGTATGGCCAATACGCAGTTTGTACGCAGTTTGTTACCGGTAACAGAAGACCAACATTCCTGCCAACGGGTAAGGATGGAGAAATTAATAACTGGGTAAAAGTCGGAATAAGGAATACCTTATCGGAGAAGGGACAAGAGGGGACAGCTTCCCTAGCAGCAGCGTCCGCACACTCATTTAAAGAGACATTAATATGGCTGGGCACCCAGCCATATTAGGTTCCTCAACCGAACATGGGTCGGGTTCCCAAAACAAAAACCGACTTAAACTTACTGGAAATAAGAAACAGCCAATGTTGAATCTCGACGCCCACTGGATGGACCGGATTAAAGGACCCGAGAGCCATGAGGGCATTATGAGAGTTAACAACAACCACAAAGGAAGATTGACAACGAGAAAGCAGGAGAAGAAGAGCACAGAGAATAGCATAAAATTCAACTGTGAATATGCTAGTCTCCGGGGTAGGCGACACATATAAGTGTGGTCAGGAAAACAACAGGGTAGTCTACACCGTCCTCAGACTAAGACCCATCGGTGAAGATGGAAACGGAGCGGGAGTGCGAAGAAAAGTGCTCAAGGAAAAGGCGTTTCAGAACCACTGGTAGGGTAAAAACTTTAGTGATGCGGGTCAAGGCTGTACAAAACTTCGGAAGGGGGAACTCTCCACGGGAGCAAGGAAGGAACAATATGAGGAGAAATACTGGAAATACGAACTGAAAGAGAATCCTGTAAGTGAGATAACCGGACAGAAAGAGGGAGCTGATGAAGAGGAACAGGAACTACAGGAGGGGTCAAAGTCAAAGCACGACAGATGCGAGAGGAATGATGTTGCAAGGACCGGGCAAGATAGCGAAGACAGTAGCGATCACGGCGGTCCTGGAGAGTCAGGAAGCCAGTGTCAACATACAAGATGAGGGCGGGAGTCGAACGAAAGGCACCAGAGCTGAGGCACAACCCAATATGGTGCAAAGCATCAAGACGGCGAAGAGTAGAAGGAGAATCAGACGAGTAAGCAGGGCAACCGTAATTAAGTTTAGACAGGATGAGAGAGGAATGTAAAGTGAGGAGAGTGCGCCTCTCCGCTCCCCAAGAAGTATGGGACAAAGCCTTAAGAAGGTTAAGGGCCATAAAGCATTCAACACGGAGGTTAGAGATATGGGGTGACCAAAACAAACGGGTGTTAAAGATTAACACTAAAAGCTTACCGGAATCCATGTACACAAGGGGCTGCCTGGTATAGCCTTTATCATGCGGACTCTGCATGATAAAACTGAACTGACTGGTTCTCCTGCACCATCGTGGAGAGAAAGAGATTGACTGACACTGCCACTAAATTCAATAGTTTCTTCTCTTCCATTTGCACATCCTTTGCAAATGATATCCCACCTTCGCGATCTTATTTTAAGGACTACCTTACAGGAAAGTATCCAGAGTCTCTGTGCCCAACACCCACTATTTCCTCTGATGTTAATGCTTTAATCCTTTCTATTAAAACAAAGGCAAGTGCCTTTGCTGAGATACCAACTCTAATTTACAAAAAAGCCTCTAGATTTCTAGCTCCTGCCATTCCATTGCACTACAACAAATCACTTGAACTCCAGTCTTTCCGGATATTCTAAAATAAGCGAGAGCAATCCCAGTCCATAAATGTGGTGATGTTACTGATGTCAACAATTTCAGACCTATCAATTCTGCCAACTTTGTTTAAAATATTAGATAAACTAATCTATAAGCGGCTTTACTCATATTTAGCTAAACAAAATAACAGTTCTTGCCAATATGGCTTCAGATCCAAACAAATCACCAACGATGCACTGATTTGTATGATTAACTTGATACATTCACTTTATGATAAAAATGAGTTCCATGTTGCATTATTTGTTGATCTAGGTAAGGCTTTTGACACTGTTAACCTCCACACCTTTCTTCTTAAATTACATCATTATGGAGTCAGAGGTCACTCCCTCCAGTACCTTCGGTCTTACCTTAAGGACAGGCTCCAGTATGTTTATGTGAATGATTCTAATTCTCCCACCGTATCCATCAACATTGGCTTCACAGGGTAGTATACTTAGCCCTCTCCTCATTCTCATCTTCATTAATGACCTTCCAAATGCCTCTCAACATTTCAAGCCAATCTTATTTGCTGATGACACAATCTTCATTTTCTGCAGTCCTAACCCACTTATTTTGAATGAAAACAGTAAATACTAAACTAAATAAAGTTCATCTTTTGATAACTGCTAACAAACTCACCCTTAACATTGCCAAATTATTCTATATTTTGCTTGGTAATAAATCCTCAGATCAAATTAATCTAAGAATTAACTATATCCAAATTAATAACAAATTAGATTGTAAATTCCTTGGTGTTCTCATCGATAACAAGCTGAATTTTCAGGGCCAACATTCAAAATATAACAAAATAAGGTTCTAAAACAGTAGGAATTCTTTCTAAAATTAGATACTATGTACCTCGCCCTGCCCTGGTGACGCTCTATTACTCTCTCATCTATCCTTATCTCAATTATGGTATTTGTGCTTAGGGTTCTACTACCCAAAATCATCTACGTCCTCAAATAACTCAACACAAATCAGCTATTAGAACAATAACAAACTCTAGCCCCAGACAGCACTCGGCCTCCTTACTTAAATCTTTGAATATGATAGATATTAAGCACATTCTCTCAAGTGTGCTCTCTATATATAAAACTGAACAGTAATGCCAATCCTGACGTTAAACGCTTCCTAGAAGGCTGTACAAGAACCCATCGGCACCACACTAGAAACAAATATCTATTTGATATTCCAAGAGTGCGAACTCCAAGCCAACTCCCATCCCAAACCCTTATCCTGATCCCTTCCCAGTGCTATATAGTCGTAATAGCTTGGCGCTTTCCCATGATAGTTCCTATTCTGCACATCAAGGGACCCAAAATGTAGAATGACCTTCCTAATCACGTCAAAGGCTCTTCTTCTCTCAACTAGTTTAAGAGAAAAACTAAAGAACTACCTAATAAGCTCCATGTAACCTCCCTTACTCCCCTAAATGTCAACCTATGTCTTGCTTTTTCCAAAAAATATTGATTATTGATCAACTTGTTTAACTGCTCAAATCTGCAATGTATAATCTTAAAGAAAATTGTAGTCGTCTGTTTATTTAGTTAAAATTAATCCTGATGTTCTGTTTAAATTTCTGCTGTTTCATCTATGTAATTATCATTCCATTTTTTGCTCGTTTTCATTTTTTCAATTCAATTTATGCAGTGATCTCAATTAGTTTTAAGTTTTATTATAGGTGTTTTTTCCCACACATTGCCCGAAACGCTGTGTATTAGCGGCTTTAGGCATAGTATGTCCTTGACCTATTTAGAAATACAACTTTCTGTTTGTAACTCATCTTGTATTAATGTACTTTTACCTGAATAAACATTTTATTTTATTTTATTTTGATTTTATAGATGAGTGGGCCACTAACCTGTTTAGTGCCAAGTCCAAGTTATTTTTGTGGTGACTTCCGTTACTCTCGTTAATCTCTTGATATTTCTCAGGTACCTATTTTATGCTGTACGACTTCCTGAGTTACTTCAATAAAGATGAGGCCACAGACCTGGAGAGAGAGAAGTTCTTGGAGATTATCAATGAGATCTTCAAGGATTGGTCACCCATAGAGAAGGAGGCCATTATTTTCCAGGTGCGCCTCACTGAAATGTCAATGCTTGTCATTTATTTTCCCCTAATATGGTGTGTGTATGTGTTTTAGTGTACGTACTTTTAAGGGGGGTTTAAACATCAGCGCCTGGGCCCCGTCTCTCAGTCTTTACTCGTCTCATTTATACAGGATCTTAAACATTTTAGGCAATGCCAAATCTTTTTTGAAGAATTTTATTGAACTTTTGTGTTTACAATTCCTTTCAATTATATCTCGTACATCCTTCATTAAATACATTTACTCAGGCCTTACAGAAAGATGAAAAAAGTGATATGGGATACAACTAACAGGAATTATAAACCTTGCAATGAAAACGGAAGGATTCATCCCATTCTCTATTATAACGGCCTTTGTACAGCTTCCCAAATGATGAGAAATAACAATTATGCTTCCTCTGACACACTGAATCGTGCTCATGTAGTTTATCAGTCCAAGTGCATTTCTGGAGACTGTGCGCACCAAAATGTATGCTATATTGGACATACCACAAATACTCGGAGTAGATATCTTACACATCTTTTGCAAGAAGGAAGTATTTGGCAACATCACTCTCAACACCACAATATTATCCTGAATTGCCGGGACATGATGAAGGCCACCACAGTAATCACAAACAAATTTCACATAATCACAAAAATTTCGAAATTTTACACTTGAGGAGGCCATGTTAATTCGAGAGCTGACACCAGTAATCAACATTCAAGTACACTCGACTTCAAGCCGAAGTCGATATACATTTATATTATATATATATTATATATATAAACACAAGATGTGTTGTACCTAGTAGCCAGAACGCAGTTTTTGGCCTACTATGCAAGGCCCGATTTGCCTAATAAGCCAAGTTTTCCGGAGTTTTAATATTTTTCGATTTTTTTTTTATGAAATGATAAAGCTATTCATTTAATTTTGTATGAGCTAATTTCTTTTAATTTGAGTTAAAACTAACGTAGATATATGACGGAACCTAACCAACCCTACCTAACCTAACCTAACCCATCTTAATCTTACCTAAACTAACATAACAAAATCAATAATTTATGTTCTTAATATAATATAATATTAATACTTAAAATAAACTAATAGGAAACAATTTATTATTAATAAAGAAAATCACTCGGCGTATTAGGCAAATCGTGCCTTGCATAGTAGGCCGAGAAGTGCGTTCTGGCTACTAAGTACGACAAGATGAATATATATATATACTGTATAACTGTACATATATTATTGGTCATCTAGTTCATTTATATTTTGATGAAGGAGGCGACACATACCGCTATCACTTGTATTAACCAGTGACGCCTCGACAGTACACTGACTGGGACAACCTGGACGACGGCTACATCAACCAGAAGGCTGTGGCTGACGTAGTGGGAGACTTCTACTTCATCTGTCCCACCAACCTCTTCGCCTACCTCTACGCTGAGGCCGGGGGCAAGGTCTACTACTACTTCTTCACTCACGTAAGTTTGGCTCCTGTTTAGTGAGTGTTGGTGTATCCTGCGAGGGGCTTACGGCTTCTCTCAAACCCGTCTGTCAACCCCGGCAGCCGCCCACACACAACAAACGACGTCAGGTGGATTAGATTATTATATAGAGAGAACTCGGCGCATAATCTGTCCACTTGGTTTAATTTACTTCAGCAAGTTCCAGTTGGGTGACCTTGGTTTAACAAACGTTCACTTGGACTCTCATTGTTCACCCATTGTGGTTTATACGGTGGTGAACAGATAGGATAAGGGTGGTGAAGGGGCAGTGGAGGAAGGGTTAAGGAGTATGGGGAAGGAGGGGGGGAGGGTGGGCCACGGAAGGAGGAGGAGAGAGGAAGTGCCACCCCACTAACAGAGGAAGTAGATAGAAGAATTTGTGTAAATTTGTGCAGGTTAATCCAACTATAAATAAATAAAACAGACATTTATGAATAAAGTGACTGATATATTGATAAGGGAGCCTTATACTAGCGAGAGTCTGGATAAGTCACTCGAGGCACTCAAAGTGAGGCAGGGAAAGTGACAAGTGTGGGAGAACAGTCATCTGAGAACATGAGGGAAGTAGAGATAGAGGTGGGAGAGGAGGAGACAGTGAAGAAGCCATTGGTGGTGATGGGGCGGGAGGAAGGTGACCTACATCAACACGTAGGCGGACCACGAGCCCATCCATCTGTGGTCAGGACCAACCATCAGAGGGAAACAAACAGCAGGAAGACGAACTGGAGCATAAGTTCTTAAGTATCAACACAAGACAGAACACGAAACAATGGGTATCAATTGGATAAGCTTAGATTTAGGAAAGACTTGGGTAAATACTGGTTCAGTAACAGGGTTGTTGATTTGTGGAACCAATTGCCGCGTAACATTGTGGAGGTGGGGTCCCTCGATTGTTTCAAGCATGGGTTGGACAAGTATATGAGTGGGATTGGGTGGTTATAAATAGGAGCTGCCTCGTATGGGCCAACAGGCCTTCTGCAGTTGCCTTTGTTCTTATGTTCTTATGTTCTTAAAGTGGAATACCTAATAAGGGAAGGGGGTAAGGGACATGTTAAGGCAACGGGTAAGGGAAAGTCTAATGGAACGGGAAATGGAAGGGTAAGTGAACAAGTAAGGAAATGGGTAAGGGAAGAAAATGGAAGGGATAATGGAGAACGAAACGGAAGAGGTAAACAAAGGGGTAAAGGAAGTGTTAAGGCAAAATGTAATGGAAAGGTAAATGAAAGGAGTAAGCAAAGAGGTAAAAAAAAAAAGGGTAACTGTAGGGAAAAGGAAATAAATAAATAAAGGCAGGGGAAATGAAAGAGGTAAAGGCAGGAAAAATGGAAGGGATGAGGTAAAGGAAGGGGGTAACAGAATAGGTAAAGAAAAGGGAATTTAGGGGGAAGTTAGGTTCCCCCAAAATTTAGAATTAGAATTTAGGTTCGCTCAAGCACCACCAATACCAAAGAATGAACACCACAATACAGCGAAACACGGCCACAAAATCCAACACGTTATTTATATATATATCCTGTAAGGTCAGGGCCGCCGGCCACCGCCGCCTCTGGAAAATAAGTTTCCTGACAATTCGGAAAGCGTTTATCTGTGTGTGTTTTTGTCAAGTGAAGAATTCTGAGGCTGGCAGCTAAATGATTATTTGTGAAGAATTACTAACAAAGGTAACTAATAAAGTAGTACTGGAAAAGTTTATTAGCAAAGTATTACTAGTATAGGTAACAAGAAAAATATTATTAGCAGCGGTTACTAGTAAACTATTACTAGCAAAGGTTACTAGTAAATGTTACTTGTAAGTATTACTAGCAAAGTTTACTAGTAAAGTATTTCTAGCAAAGGTTACTAGTAAAGTATTACTCGTAAAGTTTGCTAGCAAAGTATTAATAGCAAAGGTTACCTATAAATTATTACTAGTAAAGTATTACTAGTAGAGGTTAATAGTTAAGTATTACTAGTAAACGACTATAGTGAGGACTATACCATACCCCACGACTATAGTGAGGACTACACCATCCCCCCGATTATAGTGAGGACTATACCATACCCCACGACTATAGTGAGGACTACACAATACCCCCGACTATAGTGAGGACTATACCATACCCCACGACTATAGTGAGGACTACACAATACCCCTGGTTGATACCTGGTTGATGGGGTTCTGGGAGTTCTTCTACTCCCCAAGCCCGGCCCGAGGCCAGACTTGACTTATGAGAGTTTGGTCCACCAGGCTGTTGCTTGGAGCGGCCCGCAGGCCCACATACCCACCACAGCCCGGTTGGTCCGGCACTCCTTGAAGAAAACAATCTAGTTTTCTCTTGAAGATGTCCATGGTTGTTCCAGCAATATTTCTGATGCTCGCTGGTAGGACGTTGAACAACCGCGGACCTCTGATGTTCATACAGTGTTCTCTGATTGTGCCCATGGCACCCCTGCTCTTCACTGGTTCTATTCTGCATTTTTTTCCATATCGTTCACTCCAGTACGTTGCTATTTTACTGTGCAGATTAGGGACCTGTCCCTCCAGTATTTTCCATGTGTATATTATTTGGTATCTCTCTCGTCTCCTTTCTAGTGAGAACATTTGGAGAACTTTGAGACGAACCCAATAATTTAGGTGCTTTATCTCGTCTATGCGTGCCGTATATGTTCTCTGTATTCCCTCTATTTCAGCAATCTCTCTTGCTCTGAATTGGGAAGTGAGTTCTGAGCAGTACTCAAGACGGGACAACACAAGTGATTTGAAGAGTACAACCATTGTGATGGGATCCCTGGACTTGAAGGTTCTCGTAATCCATCCTATCATTTTTCTGAGTGATGCAATATTTGCTTGGTTATGCTCTCTAAACGTTAGGTCGTCGGACATAATTATTCCCAAATCCTTGACATGCTGTTTACCTACTATGGGCAGATTCGATTGTGTTTTGTACCCTGTATTATGTTTCAGATTCCCATTTCTGCCGTATCTGAGTACCTGGAATTTATCACTGTTAAGCATCATGTTATTTTCTTCTGCCCAATCGAAAACTTTTTTAATGTCTGTTTGTAGTTTTTCAATGTCTTCAGTAGAGGTAATTTTCATGCTGATTTTTGTATCATCTGCAAAGGCTGACCCGAAGCTGTGACGTATTTTTGTCTATATCTGATATGAGAATAAGGAACAGCAGTGGTGCAATTACTGTACCTAGAGGTACAGAGCTTTTAACTGCGCTCTGACTAGATTTTACTTGATTGACTGTTACTCTTTATGTTATGTTCGAGAGGAAAATTGAGTATCCAGCGTCCTACTTTACCAGTTATTTCCATTGCCCTCAATTTTTGTACAATCACTCCATGGTCACATTTGTCGAATGCCTTTACAAAGTCTGTGTATACAATATCTGCATTCTGTTTTTCCTCTAATGCCTCAGTGATTTTGTCATAATGGTCAAGTAGCTGTGAGAGGCATGATCTTCCTGCTAAAAATCCATGTTGGCCTGGGTTGTGGAGGTCATTGGTTTCCATGAATCTAGTGACCTGACTCCTAATCACTCTCTCAAATACTTTTATTATGTGGGACGTTAGTGTAACTGGCTTATAATTCTTTGCAAATGTTTTGCTCCCTCCCTTGTGTAGAGGGGCTATGTCTGCAGCTTTCAGCGTATCTGGTATCTGTGAGGACTACACCATACCCCACGACTATAGTGAGGACTACACCATACCCCACGACTATAGTGAGGACTACACCATATCCCACGACTATAGTGAGGACTACACCATACCCCACGACTATAGTGAGAACTACACCATATCCTACGACTATAGTGAGGACTACACCATATCCCCACGACTATAGTGAGGACTACACCATACCCCACGACCATAGTGAGGACTACACCATACCCCACGACTATAGTGAGGACTACACCATACCCCCGACTATAGTGAGGACTACACCATACCCCCGACTATAATGAGGACTACACCATACCCCACGACCATAGTGAGGACTACACCATACCCCACGACTATAGTGAGGACTACACCATACCCCACGACCATAGTGAGGACTACACCATACCCCACGACCATAGTGAGGACTACACCATACCCCACGACCATAGTGAGGACTGCACCATACCCCACGACCATAGTGAGGACTACACCATACCCCACGACTATAGTGAGGACTGCACTGTAACCTTTACCTGCACTAAAGAGGAGATGGCCACTGGCCCTGAGTACCTCACTCCCACGCTTGTGAACCTCTGTACCTTCGACAATCCAGATTAAGAGAGATATTTACTTTAAAGAATTATCAATAAATATTCCCAGGTTGTTGTGTAGGACAGTGACCAGCAGACCTCGGCAGCAGCAAACTCTTAACGGCAGTAACATGTATCAAAAAGAATCAGAAGCAGGTCATAATGACAGCAATAATACAAATAGAGAAGAAGTGTTGGAAGTATTAGCAGAAGTTGTAGTTTTAGAACTATCTTGAGGTTATCTTGAGATGATTTCGGGGCTTTTTAGTGTCCCCGCGGCCCGGTCCTCGACTAGGCCTCCACCCCCAGGAAGCAGCCCGTGACAGCTGACTAACACCCAGGTACCTATTTTACTGCTAGGTATCAGGGGCATAGGGTGAAAGAAACTCTGCCCATTGTTTCTCGCCGGCGCCTGGGATCGAACCCATGACCAGAGGATCACAAGTCCAGTGTGCTGTCTGCTAGGCCGACCAGAGGACAACTAGATTGTGATGGGGAGGAGAGTGGAATTACAGGCTAACTTACACTTAAAGCAATACCAGCGATTACTAGTAGCAGGAGTAAGAGTACTAGGCAGGAGTGAGGGGTGGTACAGGAGCAGGAGTACTAGGCAGGAGGGAGGGAGGTGGTACAGGAGTACTAGGCAGGAGGGAGGGGTGGTACAGGAGTACTAGGCAGGAGGGAGGGAGGTGGTACAGGAGTACTAGGCAGGAGGGAGGGGTGGTACAGGAGTAC